ACAAGCAAAGCAGCAGAATGTCTCTGGGGTTTAACCAGTTCTCTAAGGGTTAAACAGTTCTTAAAGTCTTCTCTTCTGTAGAAACGAAATGCTGTTAACTTTTGATACATGGATGGTATTGCAATTATTGTAATAAGCAAAGTACATGATTTATTGAATGTAAACCTGATGATCTGCTTTGTATACCTTCACTCAATTCACAAATAAAAACTTAAAAAAAGAGAGAGAGAGAGAAGCCACGAAACAAGGTGGTCAGGCCACAGGGTTTTCAGCATGGACAAAAATACAGAAGAAAATGAAATAAACATGTTTTTACTATCAGTTGTTGTTGTTAAGTGCCGTCAAGTCACTTCCAACCCATAGCAACCCTGTACAGGGTTTCTGAGGAGCGAATGGTGAGCTTGAACTGCCAACCTTGCAGTTCAAATGGCTTGGCAGTCTGGTGTATTAACCCACACTGCCACACCAGTAAGACACTATAAATTGAAAAATATGTTCTTTATTTATGTTAAGTCTGATTTAAGAAGAATGTCAGTGTAAGAACTCTTGTTACATGTTATTTCACTGCCCAAAATTAATCTGCTTTTTTATCCAATGAAATTGCTGTCATAGAACTTGGACTCAAGAGGACATCCTATGACAGCTGATCATTATTCTGAGTGGGCACAAAATAAACTGGAGCTAAAAAGAGACGGCGTTTCCTAACATGGGTGAGAAATGTTGGGTTACAGAATGGCTATTAGTGAAAGTATGCTATATGCAAAGGGCATTTACAAAATCTTTCTGCCTTCTACCTTTTCCAAGGTCTGGCCCCAAGATGTGTTTTCTTACTATTGCTGCTCAGCATCTAGCGCTGTTAATTCACTGGTTCATTCAATTCACTTGCTATTGCAAAGTGATGATATTTTAGCTTTATCCTATCTTCTCCCTTTATGAGTTGTAACACTTTAGGAAGAGATACTTCTCTTTACCTTATTTGGCTACTACTATTTGGCTGTGTCCTGGTGTGGTACTGTGGGTTAATGCACTGGACTGCAAAGTTGGTTTGAACTACAAGGTTGGTGGTTCAAGTTCACCAGTCACTCCTTGGAAATCCTATACAAGGTCGCTGTGGGTTGGAATGGACTCAATGGCACTTAACAACAACAACTATTTGGCTCAGCCCTGGTGTGGTGCTATAGGATAAGCACTGGACTGCTAACTAAAAGGTTAGCAGTTTAAACCCACCGGCTGCTCTTAGAAATCCTATACAGTGTTCACTATGAACTGGAACTGACTTGATGTCCCACAACAACAACAACAGCTATTTGGTTACTGTTTGGTAATGAACATTAAAAAAAAAAAGTATAATGAAAAGACTAGGATGTGGAGGGAAACATGTAGAGACGAGAAGGTCTTGGTCATGAAGGAAAGCAAGTGAATGGGATGCTAACTAGAGAAAAATTTATGCTCAAAAGTGTGGTTTCTCTGAAAATTAAAGACTCTTTAAACTAGAACATAGAGACTATGTAAAAGAATGAGTAAAGAAAGAATGATGAAAAAATAAGAAAGAATAAGTGACGGAACAAAGTTCTGGAGGAGATAAGATGGGGCTGACATAGGGATAATTAGACTTGAACAAGGAAGACAGCTCTTCCTCTGAGACATTAGTGAAAGAAATAAGAATCATTGCACACATATGTAAGTCTTACAGTTACTAGAATAAGAAATTAAGGGAAGTACACCAATAGGTTGAATTTTTCTGTGAAGTATGAGACATGGTCATCTATTTAGTAGAAGGCACAAGTAGATAATGAAAATAGGTTCAAAAATACATATTTAAATTTGTGTTATTTTAGCTCCAGTTTGCAAATGGAAAGTTGACTTTAAGCAAATCTGTTTACAGAGTTAAAGGTGAACGCTCTTCTCATCTACTCAGGGCAAGAGAATAAACAAATAAACATATGCTCATAGAGCGACTAGGATATTTAATGATTGCTAATTTGAGATACACAACTATTGTTCAAAGCCATCTCATTCAGATATGGATTTAGGAAATGAGAATACATGCTCAATAATTTCATTCAGACAGATAAAAACTAGAAAGAACCTCCAAATTTCTGAAAGAAATTCTTCTTGCATATACATAAACACACACAAAAAATAACTCAAATGATCTTGTAGGATTGACAAGCTGTAGTTTAGCAACTAACAGCAAGTCCCAAAATTTTAACCTTTTGCAATTAAAGGTAATTCCCTAAATTTCACCCTTGATATGCAAAATACCTAAGGAATTTATTCTTTTGATTGCATTACTCAGATCTTCTGAATTCAAATGTCAATATCATAGGCATCATCACAAATGAAGTGCAAGTTTTCCGATGTAAACCTACTACATAGGAGCACATTCTACCAACTACATAAATGTTGACATTCACTTGAAATTTATGTGGCCTTCAAAGTGATTTGGTTTGCAGCAACATGTATATGTGTAATGGTTAGGGTTCTGTGTCAACTAAACTAGGTCAGGTTTTCCAGAGGTTTAACAGTTGGGGTGTGCTTATTCCCATGGTGATGAAACCTAATACAGGCATAGTTAACTCTATGAAGAGCAGCTATGAGCAGCCAATCAACTGAAGGGACGCTTCCTTGGGGGTGTAGCCTACTCCCAACATAATGGACACTAAGGAGGGACACTCTCTCTTCTGCTGGGAACTTGGGACTTTACAACTGTTAGAGTAAACCTCTCTCTTTTATGTTTCACTGGTTTTGTTTTTCTAGAAAACTGAGCCTAATGCCATATGTTTCCATGGAAAGTTTATTCTCCTTTTACAACCAGGCATCATAAATGAGGAAAACAGCACAGACTTGATATATATAATAACAATCAACATTATGAAGTTGCTGAAAACCGAGGCTATAAATCCTTAAAAGAGCAGAAAGTCTCATCTTTCTTCTATGGAGAAGCTGGTGGGTTTGAACTGCCGACCCTGTGGTCAGCAGTCCAGTGCCTATGCTACAGCACCACCAACATTGAGAATTAAAAAAGAATATGCTTTCCTGGTCGTTCACCCTAGACCCCTTTAACTACCTACACTGAGCTTCACATTCCAAGAGAAGCTTTGGCTTAGAATATGATGAAAATCAGCAAAGATTAAAATAATTTAAAAGTGAGTATGGACCATCTGCAATATATGATAAATGAGATTAACTGCATTATTTTACTTTAGAATTAACTATAGTTCTAATTAACTTGTAAGATTGTGTTCCATACTTTTCTATCCCTGAATCCAGATCGTTTCTTCTTTTTCTCTTCTGGATAAGACTCAAGACAAACATCTGCAGCTTTTTTCTCATGGTTGCAAACGTCACCTTCATCTTTATTCTTCCCTTCGGTCTTTAGGTTGTTTACTGATGATGGAGATTCTGCATGGGCCCTGCATGTGCAAAGAAGTGTGGATTAATCATGAAGGTCCATCATAACCACTCTCAGATATAATTTCACAAGAATAAGAGCAATGGTATTTGTGAACGATTCCACATGAATACTGCTGATATTTCCAAATGCATTCAATTATCAACAACAAGGAAAAATTGATTCTTCAATACAAGTCTCTATGGCAGATCAGAGATTGAAGCTGGCAATTTATTCAATGAAGATTTCCTAAATTCCTCCATCAAGGTAATGCCTCTGCTTCAAACTCTTCCGCTATTTAGTGTCTGAGCCAACTTGCAATTTATCCTGGTGTGGCACTGTAGGATAAGCACTGGACTGCTAACCAGAAGGTCAGTGTTTCAAACCCACCAGCTGCTCCTCGGAAACTCTACACAGTCTTGCTATGAGTAGGAACCAACTTATGTCACTCAACAACAACAATAGCTACTTAAATTTTCCTAGAATCTATATTGCTCTCCAACTACTAGGTTGAATCAAATGAAGTAGGTTTCTCTTTGGATCAAAAACTGCCAAATACCAGCAATGTTAAACAGTTCAGCAGAATAAATTAATTAACAAGAGCCTAAGCGCTGTACTTGTCTTTTGCTTTATAAACCAGTGCTTTCCAGAGAAATCATGCGATGTATTCATGACCGATGAAGAAATGTCAACAGAAGTCTTCATCTATGTTTACCAAAAGAGGGGCTGGAAACGAGTATGCAGAGGTATTGTAAGATAAAAGTCTTAACTATTCCTTTCACATAACCATTCAGGGAACATATAAATCAACAGTCTTTATTTGATTTACTTGCAAATAATGTTTTCTAAACACTAACAAAGACAAAAACTTATTTAAATTTCTAAGCAAAAAACTACTATTGATTTTTCAAAAGCTAAAGCCTAAAAATAAACAAGTTTTTAAAGCCCAACAAGAAAATACCACATTGACTTAAGCTTCTTTCAAATCTGGTTCAAAAGCAACCTTTGATCTTAATTCAAATTTCCTTTCGGTCTTGATCAGTGTGATCAAGTGTGAGCCTGTGGTTAGCAGTCCAGTGCTTATCCTACAGTGCCACACCAGGATAAATGAAACACTGCCTGGTCCTGCAATCTATGAATATATTCATATACTTTCTTCTCCTTTAATTTGTTGATGTAATAAATGTTTTTTCTTATTCTCTGATTTTGAACTGTCATATGAATAGGATAAGCTATATTACGTCATGATATTGCAGTATTTCTTCATTGTACTGTGCTATGTTGTATTATAGGGTCGCTATGAGTCAGTACTGACTCGATGGTACCTAACAACAACAACAATATTTAAAGATGCTAAAAAGGTTTCTAAGAAAATTCATCATTCATTATACATAAAATAGGGGGAAGGGGAATTGCTTAGAATGCTGCCAAAACCCACCAGTAAATGCCATATTATGTAACAGAACACTGATATCAATGCTACTTAATTATGGCACAATGAAGGAATTATTATTGTTATTATTCAACACTAATTCTGAGCTATTTAGCAAAAGACATATGAAAAAAGTAGTGTACAGAAAAAGTATTTAAAATTATAACTACTACTGTAATATATGGAGTCCTGGTATGGCACTGTAGGATAAACACTGAACTGTAGCTAATTACCCACCAGCTGTTCCTTGGAAACTCTATACAGGGTTGCAATGAGTCAGAACCAACTCAATGGTACTTAATAATAACAACAATCTTAATACATCATGGGGCCAAAGTATCTCCTTGAAAGACCAATGATACAAATTAGATGGCAACGTAATTATTTTGTGAAATACCTGTGACATACAATTTGTGATATAATAAACTATAAAAAGAGAAAATATAAATGCTATATAGAAATATATACAAATTTAAAAATATATATACAAATAAAAATATAAAACATGTTGCTGTTAAGTACTGTTGAGTCATAGTGACCCTGCATAGGGTTTCCAAGGAGCAGCTGGTGGGTCTGAAATGCTGAACTACCGACCTTTTGGTTCATGTTGTTGTTGTTGTTAAGTGCCGTCGAGTCAGTTCCAACCATAGCGACCCTGTACAGGGTTTCCGAGGGTGTAATTCTTTATGGGAGTAGAAAGCCTCATCTTTCTCCCGCAGAGGGGCTGGTAGTTTCGAACCACTGACCTTAAGGTTCATAGTACAGTGAAATAAGAGGCTCAAAAATGGAAATGTCATGGTTCTTCAGGCTAGGTTCATATAAAATGTTGTCTGTCACACAAGATATTCTACAAGGGAAAGCAGGGGATTGTACAGTCGGGATGCTTTTCATTAAATATTAACATTCCAACAGCAATTATTCTAAATTTCCTTTATATATGTATGAATCAGTGAGTTTCAACTTTGGAGTTTTTAGCTTCCAGGACACATTAGACTGGAGACATTTTTGTTTGTCTTAATAGGGAATGCTATAGACCAGAAGGCTGCTAAACAATACAATCTTCCACAACAAAAAATTAACAGGCACAGAATGTCCACAGTGCAAATGCTGAGACACTCAGAGTCCAATATTTATAGCTGTGGTGTGGTTTAATTGACTTTCGTACTGTAAAAGAGGCTTTATAAGCAGTGTTGTTGTTGTTAAGCGCTGTTGCGTCTGTTCTGAACACTGTGACCCTATATACGGTTTCCGAGGCTGTAAATCTTCACAGGAACAGAAAGCTTCATCTTTGTCCTGTGGAATGACTAGCAGATTCGAACTGCTGATCTTTTGGTTGGTTAGCAGTATAGCTTATAATCGACTACACTACCAGGGCTCCCTGCTTATTCTAGTAGCAAAGGAAAATGTTCACATATGACTACTTGTTGTTGTTAAGTGCTGTTCCTTCAGTCTGTTCTGACTCATAGCCACCCTGTATAGGGTTTCTGAGGGAGGAACTGGTGAGTTTGAGTGGTCAACCTTGTGGTTTAAATTGACCTTAGGATCGAGTGCTCATCCTACAGCACCACACCAGGAATATTAGTTACAGATTTATAATTTTGAAATCATTAAAAAAAAAAAAAGGTATTTATGTGTATAAACAGAGTCCTGGTATGGTGTTGTAGGATAAAAACTGGACTGCAAACCACAAAGTCAGCGGTTCAAACCTACAGCTACTTCTTGGAAACCCTATACAGTGTCTCTATGAGTCAGAACCAACTCCAAGGCACTTACCAACAACAACATGTGCATAAATAGAATGGAGATGTATACATAATACATATATGTATTTGTTGATCTTGAGACTTACAGAGGATTTATTTGAACACTCATAAACTGCTTATTTAAGAATGGATATATTTCTTTTCGGCTACAGTTTTCAGACTAAATAAAAGGCAATTACTTTATAATTTTTTTTCACAAGCAGAAAGCAAAAATATTCAGGCTTTACTTTCCACTTTAGTTTACTGACACTCAAAAAATTCTATGAATATTTATAATACCTTAATGTAGAGTCCTTGTGTGGCATTGCGCGTTAATGCCCTGGACTGCAAGGTAGGTAGGTTTGAACCATAAGGTTGGTGGGCAAAGCTCATTAACTGCTTCTCAGAACTCTATACAGGGTCGCTATGAGATGGAACTAACTCGACAGCACTTAACAACAACAATGTAGATAGAGCTGGATAGAGTACTGGTGTGGTGCTGTAGGATTAAGCACTGGACTGCTAGCTACAGAGTCAGCAGTTCAAACCCACCAGCTATACTTTGGAAACCCTATAAAAGGTCTCTATAAATTGGAACCAATTTGACAAACCCTAGGAAGCACTTCTACCCTGACCTATATGAGGTATTCGACTCAGTGGTCCTGGGTTTCGTTTGTGTGTGTGTTTTTAATGTTTTATTGTGAATTATGTGATAGTTTACAAGGGAGAACATTAGTTTTACATTCATTCTATCGTATATTGTCTCTCATTGCCATGGTTACAATCCCCTCCATGCAATCCTTCCCCATCCCCCCACCCCCGTAACCTACATTTTTTAAAATGTAGAAGAAAATGCATGCTAAAAACTCTAACTCTAAAATACAGTAAATGTTGTTTTATTTATTTAAAGTAAGCCCTGAGGATATTTTTTCTTGATCTACTTGGAGATTATGATTTCTCATTACTACATAAGATGCTAAGCAAAGTTCCTGGGAGTTGGGGTCAGAGTACCAGGAAAAACAAAGGCAGAGAAGTTTTCCTTTTGTTTTGTTTAATGACGTCAATGTGATGAAAAAGAAAATGTCGAGTTACTTATTGTATAAATTACTCAGCATCTATCTGATTAAACAGACTAGTCTGGTTTTCTGTGCATGGCTACAAATATTTCACCTACAGGTATATTTGAAAAAAAAAAAGCTTTCCTTATTTTCTATGTTCTTTTCTTTTCTTTTTTCCATCTGTCATTAACTCTTCTCTTTATCATTTTCTTCTCTTTTCTTTTTTTAAATATAAGATCTTTTACTTGCCAGTTGTTCTCTAAGTTACAAATCATTATTTTATCTATAAACTTTAAAGCTTCTCTGGGAGCCTTCTAAAATCTACTAAAAAACATATGTTAATGTATTTTGCTACTGATGTATGTCAAATGTTCCCTAAGTTGCATTATGGGAAAACAACCATTTTCAAGTCATATGGATTAAAGAAGTGGATAAGATATTAACTAATACATCAACCTTGGAAAATTATATTCTATGGAGAGGAAGGAAGGACATGGAGACAACTAAGATGAAGGTGCTAAGGATACAAGAATATTTTCAGCAATTTCATTTTTAGCAATCCTGTCCTATCTGAATCAACACACAATTCCTCTCGTTCAATACAGCAAGCAAATACTGAGGATTCACTATGGAAAAGGCAATGAGTTAAATGTCAAAGGATGTAAAGATGAAGTCAATATACCCACTCCTCAGTTACTGATATAGTTAAGTTCCAAAGACAAAGTCTTTATGCAAAAATCAGTGTTCAAACCCAAGAGCCGCTCCTAGAAAACCCTATACAGGGTTGCTA